TCTTTGTCTGGTAGAGCTGACCCCCAGCTGTTGTTTTCTGTTCTTTGTCTGGTAGAGCTGACCCCCAGCTGTTGGTTTTTGTTCCTTGTCTTGTAGGGCTGACCTCCACCTGTTGGTTTTTGCTCTTTGGCTGGTAGAGTTGACTCACAGCACGTCTATAAGGGCCACTTAACGAACATGTGTGTTGGCTCAGTTTTTGTTTTTGTTTTTTAAACAAGAATGCCTCTCGGAAGCTTCTGGAGCTCCTTTGCCTGTGCAAGGCCAGTAGAAATGGAACCAAGGGGACTAGGGCTGGCAATGGTATTTGTAATTGGCCACTCCTGGAGAAGACCGCCCGCTGGTTAGCTCCGAGTCACCACATCTTTGAAGCATGTAGGCATGTACTGGAGGAGGGCCAATGCTTGCCTTTAGTAACCGAGGTCCCCGCTGACCGTTGCTTGTTTTCATGACTTCTTAGTAAGCCGTCCTTTTTGTTATCAGAACCCGTTCCTGTCCTGTAAGACCTGTACAAAAAACCTTCATTGACAAACCTCGCGCCACCCCCTCCACACCCTCCTCAGTAGATGACAGAATCCATGTCCCAGCCTACACCATATTAATCAACATGTTTATTCTTTCTTTTTTTTATTTCTAGTTTAGAGTAAGAGGTGCTTCATTCTTTTTTTTTTGGGTCTGGTCGTGGGGCCTGAACTCTGGGCCTGGGCGCTGTCCCTCAGCTCTTCAGCTCAAGGCGAGCGCTCTACCACTTGAGCCAGCACCACTTCGGCTTTTTTCTTTTTGCTTATGTGGTGCTGAGGAATGGAACCCAGGGCCTCAGGCTTGCAAGGCAAGCGCTCTACCACTGAGCCACCTTCCCAGCCCCAGGTGCTTCATTCTTGATTTCTTTTTGCTCTTGTCTATTATAAGACATGGCTCTGCCACTGGACTGCTAAACTCTGAGAGGAACAGTTATTTTGCTGATAGCTATTTCTTAGGTCATATTGGATGAATAAAAAAATACCTAGTGAAAAAAATACCTAGTGAATAAAATACAAGAAAGAATATAGCAAATTGTGTAAGTGCGTTCAAAATACTGGAGGAGATTGGAGGATGGAGTTCTCACATTATAACCAAGAGGTCAGAAAAGCTATCTGAAATCAATTGCAATACAATTGTAGTAGTTAGAAATCACCCACCTTTGTAGTGACACCGGGAGGTAGAAGTGCTGGTAGGCAGCTACATGTGCTGGGTTGGGCCTGCCTTATGTTTTCCATCCGACTTCTCAGCAGTGGTACCAGCCCAGTGCAGTGAACCCCTCCCCTGATCCATTTTATACCTTCTTCCTCCCCTTTCCCTGCCCTGGTTTGAGTTTTCGATACTAACTCAAATTGAGTGATCCATGGAGGCCCCTGATCAGTATGGGCCTTTGTGTTGGGGATCTGAGTGATATAAAGTACAAAAATGAGAAATTGTGCCAGGCAGCATTAGCAAGACCAAATGCCTTGAGGCAGGAAAGAGATTGTTATACTTAGAGTACCGTTTCAAAGAAAGGAATAGATAGAGTGGTAGGAGGAATATTGTGGAGAATAGTATGAGATGTACTTTGAAGAAGGAGCGGAGGCCCTGTCTCATAGATACAGTGTTTCTCAAGATAGATTGTGTCCTGCTACTCTGTCATGAAATCCATTTGCGGTAGGTAGTCATGATTTAAAAAGAAGTATTTTTCAGGTACTGTTTATTGTTCAGGTACTAATTGTAAGGCCTTCTAGGTTTTTGCTGGGTATTTGGAGATAAGATCCTGTTTCTTGGGTGTGTCAGCTTCCTGTGTAGGTAGAATTACAGGTGTGAACCCCTGGCACCTAACTGACCATATTTGTTACATGTAGTAGAAGGGTAACTTTCACGAACCTTTGTTTTAAATTGAACATATGTGGTGTGTGTACTGTACTGGATTAAGATGTAAAATAGATTTCTTACTGTGAATTATAATCCATGAAATTCAAGCTGTAATGTACTTTGAACAAGTATTTTAAAGGCAACATAGTTGAAATCTCATTCCTCTTTGGAATCTTATTCTTCTTTGGACATAGTGATGGTGTTATTCTAGTGTAGAAATTAACAAAGCCTAAAATGAACTATAGTTAAAATGACAAATTTCACTCTGCATCTAGTTCTCTGTTACATCATTTGCTGCCAACCCTTTGAGATAGAGCGGGTATATTGAAAAAGAAAGACATCGATGCCCTTTCTCTGTGTGCTGTCTAGGAATAGGCATATGAATCATATGGTTTTGTTGTTGGCAGCAGAGGACAGAGAATGTAGTTTACGGACCACTGTAATTATATGATCAGCTTCTGTTTTCATCTGGGTTGTTTACAGTTGTGTGTTCCATCACCAGATTTTGATTCTGATCACAAATTTTAGAACCACCTTTGTTTTATAAAGCAGAGATAGGAAATTTTAGTTAAGGATGTCTTTCATACAAGCTTAAGACAAAATATTTTGTATTACAACATTTAGTATTAGAGCCATTAATTACATATTTATATAGAGAGAGGGAAAATAGAGAAGTCAGATTTGACTAACAAAGAGAAATGAATGTTATATCATCTTCTAAAATATAGCATTTCCTTGAATACTGTTACACCAGATTGTTAGAATAAAGGATTTTTAAGGACGATCAGCCATATTCCATAAGAATTAGTCTAAATCTTTGAAACACAAGTGTCTCAAAGTTATTATTTTAAAAAAAGCCAACAAAGACAGTGATTATTAAGTGAAGGATAGGGTTTGGGCCGGTGGTGTGCGTCCAGTGGTTATAGCACCAGTCCAGCAGGTAAGCCAAGTCATCATGAGGTCCTGAGTTCAAAACCTGGTACTGGGGGAAACAAAATGAACCACCCACAAATCTTAAGTACCAAATTTTATTCCATGAGTGTTTTTCAGTTTCTAAGATTACCTATAAAATTCCTTTTAAATAGCTTTTTACTTCTTTTCTCTTTGATATCTATTTCTTGTACATATAGAATTCTTTTTGATACTTGAAATTTTACTTTAGAAGAATTTATTTCACATTAATGGAAATGAATCAAAGTATAGTGCTTAAATTAGAAGTCTGAAACTTAGAAGAAATAAATTTTCCTATAATATTACATACATAGACCATGTTGGTCGTTATATCCTTTCTCAGAAACCAATAGTATTTATAAAACTGACTAGCAGCTGGCTAATATAATGCCTTAATTTTGTCTCATTCAACTCTATTCTTTAGTTTTTCTGACATTTTTGTCTACCATTTTCCTTTATTATTTGCAAGTATTCATCAATTCAAAAAAGTACTCAGTATTTTTATGTGTTAAGTATGGATGGCAATGCACTCATTCATAAGATTGCACACAGTAACCATTATTTAATGGAATTTATTGAGAAAAACCTTGGAAATGTGATTCAGGTATAAGCCGAGTTACTAAAGAAAAATTGCAAGGGGAAGTGGAACTTAATAGTAAGAGAGTGACCTGAATAGCCTGGAATGAAAGTCTCTGTGATC